GCTGGCCCGGAGCCAGGCCTGCCACAGCCGCAGCCGCAGCGTACAGTTGCCGCCGCCGCCGCTGCTGCTGCTCGCTGCTGCTGCTGCTGCTGCTGCTGCTGCTGCTGCTGCTGCTGCCGCGGCCCCAAACTGGCTGCTTTAACCCTACACCTGCCGGGACCCAGCCAGCTCTTCCTCGGAAGGAGGGGCGTGGAGGGCGGAGGAAAAATAGGAGGAGCCTGCGGGAGGCCAGGGATTCCCTTACTTGTAGTCTGTTGCTGCCTTTGGTCCGCTGGCTCGCCAAAAAGAGTCGCGGGGAACGTGCCAGACGAGTCCTAGGTACCTGGCGGTCCTTAAATACCTAGTAAATATTACCGAGTGGCTGTGATTATCACAGAGTCACTGGTTTTCACCGTAACTTCACGAGAAACTTCCCCTCCCTACTCTTTTTCAAAAGCGAGTGGTTATGAAAATTTTTAAACATGCCCCAAAGTAGAGGAAATAGGATAATGAACGCCCACGCGCGCCATCATGGACGTGTGACAATTATTAGCTCTACCCAATCGTGTTTCATCCCTCCAATACCTTTTGCTCGGATTCTGCTGCAGTCTTTGACTTTTTGTAGCGTGTGTGTGTGTGTGTGTGTGTCACACACATTTGGAGGTCAGCTTGCAGGAATCGGTTCTTCCCCCATGTAAGTCCCAGGATGGAATAGTGCCAGCCATCTGGTTTAGCGGCAAGTGCCTTTACCCACGGAGCCGTCGTGCCTACACTGTTCCTGTATTTGTCTCATTGTTGTTTTGTTGGGGGGTTCACAACAGGGTTTCTCTAGCCCCGACTGTCCTGGAATTCGCTTTGTAGACCAGGCTGTCCTTGAACTCAGAGATCGGCCTGCCTCTGCTAGGATTAAAGATGTGCACCACCACAGCCGGGCGCTGTCCCTGTATTTGAAATTCAATGTCTGATACAGTGTTATTCCCTCTCTTCGGCCAGGAAATGGAGAAGCAGAATATCGAAAGAGGCTGTTGGTAGTAGGACGGAGGCCTCTGTGGCATATTGCGCATGCGTGTGCAATTGCACACACCTGTGTGTTTGTTAGCTAGAGGACCACATTGGGTGTCCTCTATCACTCTCCACCTTATTCCTCTGAGACAAGATCTCTCCTGAGGGAAGAGCTTGGCTGGCAGCCAGCAAGCCACAGTAATTCTGCCGTCTCCGTCTTCCACAGCACTGAGGTTATAGGCACATATGGCCATGCCTGGCTTTTTACTCGGGTGCTGAAAGATTTGAACTCAAGTCCTCACACTTGTGCAGCAAGACGTTTTACCTGCTGAGCGCCATCTCCTCAGCCCCCAACAGGTATCGTCGCTACAAAGTCATCTATGTTCTTCTCTGTCCATCAGCTACACACAAAGGTAGATCTGAAGATGAGCTTGCTCAACTGTATTTCCCACGATGGTCGGACACGTGCCGGTGACCACAAAACTACCCCACAGGTGTCCCTGAGGACCAGTCCCAGCTGGCCACAGGCATAGACCCCCTCCCCACCTCCTACCCTTTCCCTCCTCTCCCATACTATCCCCTTGATCATTACGAGGGAGAATTCACACACACAAAGGGTCTGCACGGTGCCTGGCAAGGAGAAACAAACTCCCAACTGCCATTTTTCTGTCTTGGCACTGATAACTGGCGTTCTGAGTGGGAGCCTTTCATCCAAAGCAGGATGGAAAGGCGGCATCTGCTGTCACTCGGGAGTTGGGAAGGAGATGGGTTCTCATTAATTTTACTCAAACAAAACTGTTCTTAAGTCCTAACTGGGTGTGGCAGTACATGTACAAGTCCATAAACCCCAGATCTTGGGAGGTGACCTAGAGGCAGCCGCAGCTACGTGAGATCCTGTTTTCAATAGCGGCAGAAAGACAGATGACAGACAGATGGAAAGAAGAGAATCCTCGGTTAGGCTGGGGGTGTGGTTTTAGTAGGGTGCTTGCTTCATATAAATGAAGCCTGGGTTCCATCTTCAGCATAAGTTGGCCATGTGTGTGGTACACACCTTTAATCCCAGCATTCTAAGAGGTTCAGAATGACTAAGAGGCTAGACTCAGGTGGTGGTGGTGGCATATACCATTAATCTCAGCGCTGATTTAGGAGGTAGAGGCAGGAAACACATAATTTCTTTTTAAAGATGGTTTTTTTTGTTTGTTTTTTGGTGTTTTCTTTTTCTTTTCTTTTTTTTTTTTTTTTTTTTTTTGAGACAAGGTTCCTATGTAGTTTTGGTGCCTGTCCTGGAACTAGCTGTTGTAGACCAGGCTGGCCTCGAACTCACAGAGATCCGCCTGCCTCTGCCTCCCGAGTGCTGGGATTAAAGGTGTGCGCCACCACCACCCAGCTAAAGGCAGGGTCTTCTATAGTTCAAGTGAGTAGCCAAGTGAACACCTACCTGATCCTTCTGCCACTATTCAAAAATTACAAGTATAAGCCTCACCTGACACCCGTGGAAAATTCCAGCCACTCTTATTGTGGTGGCAGTGTTGGTGATGGTGCTGGCCATGGAACCTAGGCATGTTAGGTGAGTACTCTACCGCCAAGCCACATTTCCACCTTTTTTACTTTTTTTGTTTGTTTGTGAACTTGCTTTGTAGACCAGACTGGGCTTGAACTCACGGAGATCCACCTGCCTCTGCTCCCAAGTGCTGGGTTAAAAGCTTGCAGCCACCACTGTCCGGCTTGCAATTTTTTTAAAAAAAAATAATTCCTAGCTAGGAGTGTGGTTGCACACTCCTTTAATCCCAGCACTCCAGAGGCAGGGGCAGGTGGATCTCTGAGTTCAAGGCCAACCTGGTCTACCGCGTTGAGTCCCAAAATAGGAAGGGATGCACAGAGAAACCCTGTATTGAAAAACCAAACGTGGTCTGGAGAGATGACTCAGTGGTGAAAAGCAGTGCTGCTCTACCAGAGGACCCGAGTTCAAGTCCCAGCACCCACCACAGGGCAGCTCACAACTGGCTGTAACTCCCTCCAGTTCCAGGGGATCTGACACCCTCACAAAGACAGACGTGCACACGCCAATGCACATAAAATAAGAATAAATAAGTCATTTAAAAAAAAAGCAATTCCAGTCTCCCACCCCTCATCTATTTATTCTTTATCTTTTGTTTTTGTTTTTGTTTTGTTTTTCGAGACAGGGTTTCTCTGTGGCTTTGGAACTAGCTCTTGCAGACCAGGCTGACCTTGAACTCACAGAGATCCGCCTGCCTCTGCCTCCCGAGTGCTGAGGGCTACCACCGCCCAGCTATTCTTTGTCTTTTTTGTCTGTCTTGCAGCAGCCATAGTAAACAAAGGCAGTAGTAGCAAGGTCCTAAAGTCTAGGAAACGAGTTTCCCACATACTCTCCCTCCGGATCTAATCCTTATTATGGGCCTCTTATAAAGGGCTCACAACCCCTCTTCCTTCCTGAGGGCTTTTTATTTAAGTCTCAAGCAGGCTACAGCGGCTTTGAACTTGTGTGGCTAAGGATGACCTTGAACTGAAGAGCCTCCCACTTCCACCTGAGGAATGCCAGAATCACAGGTGTGTGCCACAGCGCGCCATACCTCCAATAATATTATTTGAGGCAGGTATGAAATGAGTCATGGATCCGACAAGTAACGAGATTTGCTTGAGGCCACACAGCGCACCAGCAAAGACTTTGCCGCATTGCAAAGCATCCACAGGTACCAAGGATTAGGGTGTGCAGACTGCAGGAATCCCAATTTTCAGTTAGTGGAGGGTACAGCCGAGGTCTTCTTGACGCTAATTTACCCAACCACAGAGCTATGTGTCAAAACTGATCCAAGCAAGGAATTTGTCAAGGGGTTGATGAGAAAAGGAGGGGTGAGATCACATCCCTCACCCCTCCCAGGCTGTGCCCAGGGTGGTCTCGGGTAGAGGCCAAACTGGTGCGCCCAGATCCTGACGGGCGGCGCCCACGGTGTCAAAGGTTAGTAGAGGTTAGTAGAGGATGACTTGGACCGCGGGGGCGGACGTGCGGGGAGACTTTGAGCCCCACACGAAGGAACAAGGTCCGGGCGCCTGGGAGGCTGCAAGGGAGGAGGCCCAGCACCAAGCCAGCCAGCTCTCCTGCCCTCCCCTCACCTAGGGCGGGGTGGGGGTGGGGGCACCGCGGGGACTAGGCCAAACGAGCACGTCCCCTGCTGAGCAGACGCCTCGATCTCCGGGCGGCCGACTCGGAGCCCCTCTGCCAGCCTCACCGCTTGGCAGCACCCAGGGACCGCAGCCGCAGCCTCCCACCCGGGAGCGCTAAGGCTCACTGGGCAACCGGGTGGGTGCGACCTCCAGACTCCCGCTGGGGGGCGCCGCTGAGCACCCCGCTCCGCTTGGGGTTTGGGAGACCCAACCCAGCACCGCCCGTCTGGGCAGGGGGCTCGGGTCGCTTAGGACCAGATACCCGAAAGCTGGGGAGCGGGACTCCCGCACCCCAAGACCTGCCTCTCGAGCTCCCTTGTCCGCTCCGCGGGCCCTGTGCTCTCCACCCCAACCTGCTGGTGCAGAGCCGCACCGCCGTTCCCGCTCTGTCCTTGGAGGGTGTGGAAGGGTGGGTTTGGGGCCGGGGGCGGGTCTGGGGGCGGACCCGGAGGCGGGGCTGTCTCTGCGGCAGGGCCCAGTTCGGCTCCCCCGGTCTCTCTCTGTCTCTCCTCCTCCCTCCTCCTGCTCCGGGCGGAGCCCGGCATGGGGGGGCCGGCGCCCGGCAGGCCAGGTACGGTGATGTAGAAACTGGGGAGGCTTCATGCGGGGAGGTGGTGATGGGGGGGACTAGGGGCAGGGAGGATTGGCGGGGCGAGAGGCGGAGACACCCAGGATAGCAGGACAAGGGGAAGAGGAGGGGGTGCCCCGGGAACCTGGGGCCTTTGGATGGAGAGGGGGGGGGGGATGAAGCAGGCCAGGTTTGGAACAAACTGGGGAAGGAGGAGGACGGCTGTGAGGAGGGGCTCCAGGGAGGAGACGTGAGGCTGAAGGCGAAAGGGAGAGAGTGTGTTTGGGGGAAGGGACGCAAAAGCGCAGGTAAGGAGGCCGCAGCCCAGAAGGTTGCCATGGGGCCAGACTGGAGACCCCCGCCCCCGCCCCCGCCAGGGTGGGATTCAGGGGCGGGACTACTTAGGGGAAAGCCGGGGTTCTCCCAAATCCTGAACGGAAAGAAGGTAGATTTGATTTGGGCCATCAGCAAGAGGAGGGAGGCAGAAACCATTGCTGAAGGACCAGGGTGCTCGAATAGAGGTGGACGGAGGTCCAGGCCCAGGATTGGAAAAGCGGGCACTCCAGGGAGTGAAGGTAGATGGATGGGTGGGATTTTAGTTGCCCAACTCAGTCTCACCATCCTTCCTTCTGCATCCCCACCCTGTCCTGACGATCCCCCATTAAGCCTCAGGGCCCAAGAGAGGGTAGCAAACCTAACTGCCCCCCCCTTCCCTAGCTGGGTGCAATGTACGCAAGTAGGCCCTGAGCACAACTCCTTGTCCGTAGGTGTGACCAGTTCCATAGCAGATTTGTGTGCTAGAGGTCTGTGTGTGTCGGTGGGTGTGTCGGTGGGTGTTTATGTCTGTGTTCGCTGTTCCTGGGTTTGTGTTTACCTATGCCCCTCTATGTCTGCCCCAGTTTGTAGGTACATCTGTGGCGGGGTACTGTGTCTATACGTACTGTGTGCCTACAGAGTTGCTGTATGTTTGTGTGGTCTGTGGGGCTCTGGTGGTTCAGGATGTATTTACACAGGATGGGGATCGGTGTTAACCTGATCTCTCCAGAGTGGCCCCGAACACCTTTGTCAGGGTGTGTGACTCTGCACACACACACGCTCGTACGTCTGTCTGTCTGTCGTCTGTCTGTCTGGGAGGGGTCCCATAGACTGTACTGGATATTCTGCGCCTGTGTTTTCCTCCTCGGGAGACCCAAATCATGTCTCTGCCCCTTCTCCTCCCTCCCCAACCCTCTCTTCCCTTGTCTCCTTCTCACCTGTCCCCCTTCTCAAGTGGATCCAGGACCCAGGGAGGGCCGCCCCCCGGACCTGGTGGCGTTAAGCAGGGCCCCTCAGCCCCCACCTCTTGCCCCACGACATGAACCTTCTCTACCGAAAAACCAAGCTGGAGTGGAGACAGCAGCACAAAGAAGAGGAGGCCAAAAGGAGGTAAGGCCCTAGCCTGTCCCTCGGCCTGTTGCACAGTCCCCTGGGCCACAACCCCTCCCCTCCTGGAGCCCATCGGCCTTGTCGCTGATGAGAGCTCTTTTCCCCAGTTGGTTTTTGACTTAGCACAGAATGGCTGCCAGTGTCCATGCTTGGTTCCAGTCTTGTTCCTGGCTCCCTGAGAGAGGGGTATGGCTAGGGCATGCCTTCCAGCTTTGGAGAGAGCCCTGTTGGCTTTTCTTTATGCCTATGGGCCCCGAGTCCCTCCCCAATTCTCTTTTCTGTTATTCTAAGGCTGGCTGCTGGCTTTCCCCTGTCACCTGATCTTGGAAAGGGCAGGCCCCTCTGTCCTCACAGGGTCTAGGGAGAGGGGGGTCATTTTAGGGGCCTCGAGACCATTCGTGTGTCTCACCCAGTCTCCTCTCGTGGAGGAAGTGACTGACTAAAGAGGTGTGTGTATGTGTGTGTGTGTGTGTGGCCTTAGGGGATTTATAGGCTAAGTCCTACAGAAGAGCAGGTGGAGACCCTCATACCCCCCACTCTTGCATCCCTCCCAACTCTTTCTCCTTGCCCTCCCAGGAACCCAGGCCTAGCCTCTCTCAGCTTCCTCCTCCTCTTTTCCCTTTGACTGCACAGCCTCTTGGAGCCTGAGTCAGAACCACCTCCCAGCTCCCTTCTCCCTCCTCGCAACTGTGGAGTTTAATTCTTGTTGTTAATTAGATTAATCAGAGCGATCACTACAGCGATCTCTCCCTAATGAAGGGTTAGTAGACAGGGCCTTAATGGGAGCCCACCCCACAGCAGGCAGCGCTCCCCTCTTCTCTGCCAGCCGCCCCCCCCTTCACTCACCCAGGACAGGGAAAGGGAATAGGAGTGAGCTGGGGAGGTAGAGAGAGAGAGAGAGAGAGAGAGAGAGCGCAAGCGAGCAGGAGAGGGGGAGAGAGGGGGGGAGAGTGCCCAGAGAGGCCTAGTGATTCAGTCATCACACCCTGTGTCTGGGAGAGATGGCCTGTAATGTGACAGGGGCCACAGTAGCTGGGCATGAAGGGAGGCCGGAAGCCAGGTGTGGGCTAGCATGTGAGGGGAGTCACAGGGGCAGGTGTGTCTGCTTGTCTGGCAGGTGGCTGTTGCCTGGACTGTATCTTTCTCCATGGAAGATACTGTGTGCCAGTTAGGTGGTCGGTCAGCCGCAGGGAGACCGTCTTACATATATACCATTTCTTTCCTTTCTCACCCCCTAGTGCTTGGCTTTCCTTAAATCCAAAGAATCAGCATTCCTGCCTTAGACCTTCAGATGTCCCTATCCCGGGCTCCTATCCTCACTGGGGAAACAGTTATTCTGCTCTTGAAAAGCCGTCTCCTCCTGAGACAGAGGAAGGCAAGTTGGAGGCCTGCTGTCTAACTTCTGTTCCATCTTGTCTTCTTTTCTCCCCAGCTCCAGTAAGGAAACAGCCCCTACAGCCCCAGTGGGGCCTGGGGCTGTCCCAGGGCCTGGGGTCCGAGTGCGGGACATAGCCTCGCTTCGAAGGTCCCTCAGGATGGGTTTCATGACGATGCCCGCATCCCAGGAGCACACCCCTCACCCCTGCCGCAGTGCCATGGCCCCACGCTCTCTCTCCTGCCATTCGGTCGGCAGCATGGACAGTGTAGGGGGTGGGCCTGCAGGAGGCGGGGGAGGTCTCACAGAGGATGGTAGCACCCGAAGACCCCCGGCTAAGCCCCGGAGACACCCCAGTACCAAGCTCAGCATGGCAGGATCAGGGGCAGAGACACCGCCAAGTAAGAAAGCAGGTGAGACACCCACCCTGTTCTCCTAGTCCTCTTTGGAGGAAGCTGGCAGCCGGTAGGATCCATTCCAACCAAGGGGGGGGGGCCTCTGGGAGGGTTCATTCAGGCGAGAGCCAAGGAAGTGGAAGGTTCCATTCTCAAAAGGAATAGGGGGTTCCTTTTAGGTGGACCTCAGATGAACCATTCAAGGGCAGGAGACACTCCCTCAAAACAGCTCTTGGGAAAGGCCACAGGGGTGGGTGAGAATTGCAGATCCTGGGGTTGGTAGGGGGCTGAGGTAGGATGCTTCAGGCTACACGATGAGACCCAGTTTCGAAAAGCAAGCACACGAACAAAAACTTGAAGAAAAGACAAAAAGCAAATCAACGAAACCCTAAACACGATGGCCCAGGCCTCTAATTCCAGCACTCAGGAGGCAGAGGCAGGAGGACCTCTGAGTTCAGGGCCAGCCTGAACTAAATATTCAGGCTAGCCAAGGCTACAGAGTGGGACCCTATCTCAAACAAACAGCAAAACAAAAAAAAAAAGGAGAATGAAAAAAAGAGAAAAAGACTGGGAACTGCCTTGAGGGAAAGGAACCTAGTGGGCTCTGAGTGGAAGGTTGTCGGAAAGGTATCTAGATGAATATGTCCTTGAAGATGGGTCAAGAGGTCAGAAAGAAATTCTCCCCCTTTCCTGTAGAATGAGTTCAAGGTAAGTCTGGGCAGCTTAGAGGCCCTTTCTTTAAAGAGAAAAAAATTTATGTAAGAAAAATGCAGTGAGAGGCTGGGGTGTGACTCAGTGGTAGAGCACCTGCCTAGAATCCCCAGTGAGGGGCTGGGGTGTGGCTCAGTGGTAGAGCACCTGCCTAGAATCCCCCAGTGAGGGGCTGGGGGGCGTGGTCAGTGGTAGAGCATTACCTGGCATGTTAGATGCTCTGTATTCAATAATCTGCATTTCTTTTTCTCCTTCCTACCCTTCTTAGGCTCTCAAAAGCCAACCCCTGAGTGTCGAGAATCTAGCCGTAAGGTTCCGCCACAAAAACCCAGGCGAAGCCCCAACACCCAGCTGTCTGTGTCCTTCGATGAGTCTTGTGTCCCGGCCCCATGTCCTCGAGGGGGGAACCTGCCCCTGCAACGCCTCGGCAGGGCTTCTCGAGTAGCTGGAGACCTGGACGCAGGTGCTCAAGAGGAAGAGCCCGTGTACATTGAGATGGTGGGGGATGTCTTTCGTGGAGGTGGACGAAGTGGAGGAGGCTTGAGCGGGCCTCCTCTTGGAAGTGGAGGCCCAACCCCTCCAGCTGGTGCCGATTCGGACTCTGAAGACAGCGAGGCTATATATGAAGAGATGAAGTACCCCCTGCCTGAAGAGGCAGGAGATGGCAGAGCCAAAGGGCCTCCTCCATTGATGGCGCCCTCCCCTCCACAACAGCCTCATGTCCTCCAGCCCCACCCCCACCCTCACCGCCGTCCAGCTTCAGCCCTCCCAAGCCGGAGGGATGGGACACCCACCAAGACCACTCCTTGTGAGATCCCCCCACCTTTTCCCAACCTCCTTCAGCACCGGCCTCCACTCCTGGCCTTCCCCCAAGCCAAGTCTGCTTCCCGAGCCCCTGGCGATGGGGTCTCAAGGCTACCGGTCCTTTGCCACTCCAAGGAGCCAGCCGGTTCCACCCCAGCTCCCCAAGTGCCTGCACGAGAGCGGGAGACGCCTCCCCTGCCGCCTCCGCCTCCTGCTGCCAACCTGCTATTGCTGGGACCATCAGGCCGAGCCCGGAGCCACTCAACGCCATTGCCACCTCAGGGCTCTGGCCAGACCCGGGGGGAGCGGGAGCTCCCCAACTCTCACAGCATGATCTGCCCCAAAGCGGCAGGGGTACCGGCAGCCCACCCTGCCCCAGCTGCCTTGCTCCCCGGCCCCCCCAAGGACAAGGCCGTGTCGTACACTATGGTGTATTCTGCGGTGAAAGTGACCACACACTCCGTCCTGCCAGCTGGTCCACCCCTGGGTGTTGGGGAGCCAAAGACGGAGGAGATCTCGGTTCTCCATGGAATGCTTTGTGCCAGTTCGAGGCCCCCTGTACCAGGGAAATCCAGCCCCCATAGTGGGGCTATGGGTTCAGCAGCTGGGGTCCTGCACCACCGTAGCTGCCTGGCATCCCCCCACAGCCTTCCGGATCCAACTGCAGGCCCCCTGACTCCCCTCTGGACTTATCCAGCCACAGCAGCTGGCCTCAAGAGACCCCCTGCCTATGACAGTCTCAAGGCTGGGGGGGTGCTGAATAAGGGCTGTGGAATGGGAACACCATCTCCCATGGTCAAGATCCAGCTGCAAGAGCAAGGGACTGATGGGGGTGCCTTTGCCAGCATCTCCTGTGCCCATGTCATCACCAGTGCGGGGACACCGGAAGAAGAGGAGATGGGGGCCGCCTTTGGGGCAGGCTGGGCTCTACAGAGGAAGGTCCTGTATGGAGGGAGGAAAGCAAAGGACCCGGACAGTGAGTGAGGAGGGGGGATTGGGTGTGGGGGTGTTGCTGGTGGTTTGGGGTTAGGGGTTAAATATTGAAGGGAGGTATTTAGAAATGGCAGGTCTATTGTCCTGTCCAGGGAAGTTTTCTGGGAGACCAGATAGATGGGGATGGGGAACAGAATGAATGGGTGGGGGAGGGGAGATATCTCTGAATGTTCAGGGAAAGGTAAAAAGGTCTGGGACAGGGGCTAGGGGGGTGATCCAGCCACATCCTGCTCCACCCTCTGCCCCTCCCTTCCTTGGGCTGCAGGGGTGTGTGTTTGTGAGTGTGTGCACACTAGGAACTAAACACAGCTGCCTCCCAGCTATTACCATGGCAACCCATCCAGACAGGAGTGAGAGGAGAGGGAGGCCCCTACCGTTGCCAGGCAACGCAATGCTCTGCCAGGCCTGCTCTCAGAGATGGGCTTAGTTCACACACGGCCCTTCCCCCCACTCTATACACTCAATGTAACCCCCATACCCTCTCTCTGAGATCAGGATTTGGGATTCTCCCCACAGAGAGACAGCACCCCTGTTTTCCAGGGTGTTCATTCTGACCCTGTCTGGTCCTGGAGAGGTTTTAAAAACCAAAGCTAGGGTCGAGAAGGACCCTCTGGCCAGGGGAAGGGTTTTCTGAACAGAGCACATATATATGATTCTGAGTCCCAGTGACGGTAACAATGGGGAGAAAGGAAGGTGACAGGGCTGGGTCTGGGGTGGGTGTGTGTGCGCATGTGCGTGTGTTGAAGTGTGAGGTCGAGCCTCTGCCATTCCTGCTGGGATTCACTGAACGGCGACCCATGCTGTATTGCATGTGCCTGCTGGGGATAGAAAGGCCCCTCCCACCTGCGGGCACTGAGTTTTTTTGTTTGCTTGTTTGTTATCCCAGCAGAAGTCGAGGATGGTGCCCGGGCCTGGAATGGCAGTACAGAGGGTCCCGCCAAGGTGGAGCATGAGGACAGGGGCCAGGTGGCATCAGGGATTCCTGTGAGGAGCCAGGGGGCAGAGGGTCTGCTGGCCAGGATCCACCATGATCGAGGAGGGAGCCGCACAGCGTTGCCAGTCCCTTGCCAGACTTTCCCGGCCTGCCACCGGAATGGAGGTGACACCTTGCTCTCATACTCTATACAGAGATGGGTGGGTCAGGAATCTGCCAGGGTCCACCTGGGACCAGCCTGCCTGACTTCCTATCAACTCCATGTCTACAGTTATTAACCTTTGAACAGTATTTCTCGTACTTTGAATGGAACCCAGGAGTTCCCTCAAGCAAGGCAGGTGCTCTACCACCAAGCCACACCCCAGCCCCTCACTGGGGGATTCTAGGCAGGGGCTCTACTACCGAGCCACACCCCAGCCCCTCACTGGGGGATTCTAGGCAGGGACTCTACCACTGAGCCACATCCCCAGCCTAGATCCCTGAATCTCAACACTGTATCTCCATCTCCTTTCTTTTCATGAAGCAGGGGACAGTTTGGCCTACAGCCTCTTCAGGGAGGTGAGGGACCAGACTTCTGTAGGTCTCTCTTCTCATTTCTGGTTTCTGGGCCTAGATTTCACAGGAGGGTACCGCCTGGGTCGCTCTGCCTCCACCTCTGGAGTCCGTCAGGCTGCGCTCCATACCCCTCGGCCCTGCAGCCAGCCCAGGGTTGCCCTGAGTCAGGTGAGCATCTGGTCTTTGTTTTATCTTTGAAGGAGCAGCAAGAGAAGGCTTGGGTATGGAAAGAAAGGATAGACCCACTCACTCACCCGTATAATCTAATCTCTGACCAAAAAAAGCTGAGGAAAAAAAAATTCATCTGGAGTTAGTTGGGCTACGTAAAAAAAATCCTGCCAGGTGGTGGTGGAACACACCTTTAATCCCAACATTTAGGAGTCAGAGACAGGTGGATTTCTGTGAGTTCAAGACCAGCCTGATCTACCAAGTGAGTTCCAGGACAGGCTCCTACAGAGCCTACAGGGAAACCCTGTCTCAACAAAACAAAACAAATCCTGTCTGAAAATACCAAATTAAAAAATACTAAATAGAGTAAGAAAGAGATCATGGCACTATAAGGCACGTCCCTGTGACCCCAGTTTGGGAGGTGGGAGCAGGAGGATTGGGAGTTCAAGATCATCCTTCCTAGGCTACATATTGAGTTCCAGCCCAGCCTACAAGAAAAAAAAAAAAACCCAGAAAGAAAAAGGGGGTACAGAGATGGCTGGACAGTTAAGAGCATATCTCCCCGCCCCCTGCGAAGGACCAGAGTTCAATCCCAGCACCCCACATTGTACACTTCACAACCGCCTCTAACGCCAGTTCCAGGGGCTCCAATGTCTTCTGGCCTCCAAGTCCAAATGTATAGCATATACTCACACAGGCACATACACAAATAAATGAAAAATCTTAAGAAGAAAGTGGGCTGGGAAATGGCTCTGTGGGTAAAGGCGGTTGCCACCAAGCCTAAGAACTGAGTGAGTTTGGTCCTCAGAAGCCACGTGGTGGAAGGAGGGGACAGACACCCAAAAGTCTTCTGACCTCTGTGAGCTGTGGCGTGGGCCAGCCAGTCCCTCAAACATAAAATAAATGACATGCTTTTAATTTTTTTTAGTAAATAAATAGGAAAGGAAGATAAATGAAAGAAAAGGGAGAAAAAAAATCAGACTGGGACTAACCAGTGGACCTGCACAGGCTGAAGGAAACAGGAACTAAAGACAAAAATAGACAGGATAGGATGGGGCTGGGTAGCATGGTCACCTAAGCAGGGCCCTGGGTGGTGGCCAGTCTGGGCCGTGACTGTCTACGGGTACCTTTAGTGGTTTAGAAAAGACCCCCTTCGAGGACAAATTTGAAAAATGCCTGTCTGGTCTGGAATGACTAGTATTTTTGTTTAGTTGGTTTTTGGCTTTTTTTGTTTGCTTGTTTTTGGAGACGATGAAGGATCTCATGGTCTTCTAGAACAAGATCTTCTTTTTTTATTTTTTGTTTGTTTGTTTTGTTGGTTTTTTGAGACAGGGTCTCTCTGTGTAGCCCTGGCTGTCCTGAAACTCACTCTGTAGACTAGGCTGGTCTAGCATTCAGAGATCCTCCAGCCTCTGCCTCCCAAGTGCTGGGATCAAAGGCGTGGACCACCACATCCTGATACATTTTACTTTTTTTTTTTTTTTTCTATATTATGTAGTCCTGGCTGGCCTGGAACTCATGTAGATCAACCTGGCCTCAAACTCATAAATCCACCTTCCCAAGTACGGGGATTCAAGGCTATGATAAAAGGCACAGTCCACTAACCCCAACTTTTTCATTTGTTTGTGATGGTTTTATTCATAAATTTCAGACTGACCTCCAGCTCACTAAGTAGCTGAGGGTGACCTTGAACTTCTGATTCCCAGAATGCAGGGATTACAAGAATAGGCCCCACGGCCTGATTTAGGAGGCGCTAAGCTTTTGAACCTAGGGCTTGGCCAGTGCTAGGCCATCACTCTATCAACTGAGGGACACTCTTAGCATCACAAGGTCTTTTCTTTGATAATTTCACATATGTATATTATACATTTTGATTACTCCCATCACCCCCACGCAACAATCTCTCTCCCATACTTGTCATCCCCCAGCTCCTCTGGCCCACGTTCCTGTCTTTCTGTTTTGTTGGAAAACGGGGTCTTTTTTTTTTTTTTTATTGTTTTTGTTGTTTTGGTTTGGTTTAGGTTTTTGGGTTTTGTTTTTGTTTCTTTGAGACAGGGTTTCTCTGTGTAGCCCTGGAACTCACTCTGTAGACCAGGCTGGCTTCTTAGGGCCAGGCAAGCCTCGTCTAACACCAGAGTGCATCACTGGGGAAAGGGTGCCCCAACTGGAGACCTGTCCCATCACACCCACAACCTGGGAAAGAGGACCCGCAGCCAGACCTGGGGGAGGGTTTGTTTCTACAGGAGGTCGTTGGTTTGGGCACAAGGTCCTTGACATCCCCTGTCGCACATATTTTTCTTTCTCTGGGGTTCCTGGCACAGACCCACCCTGTGCTGCCTCTGCCCCTGCCGCCCCAGCCCGCCCGGGAGCGCGACGGCAAGCTCCTAGAGGTGATTGAGCGCAAACGCTGTGTGTGCAAGGAAATCAAGGCACGTCATCGTCCGGACCGGGGGCTCTGCAAGCAAGAGAGCATGCCCATCCTTCCCAGCTGGCGGCGGGGCCCTGAACCCCGCAAGTCCGGCACCCCACCCTGCCGCCGGCAGCACACGGTCCTGTGGGACACTGCCATCTGAGGATGCAGGGGCGGCTTGGGACGCCTGGATTGGAAGGGGAGGAAGCCTGCCCAGGTCTACTTGAGACTTGAGAGATGGAGGGATTAGGAGAGAGGGTTCTTACTAGGCCCATCGTGGGGACTTGAGGTGCCAGTAGCATCCCAAGAAATTTGGGGGAGGAGGAGGGTTTGCTTGATGTTGGAAGGAAGGGTCTGAGCGTGTAGATCCCTCTTCTTGAAGCGAAGGCCAAGGTGGAGATCACCATGGGAAAAGGTGGGGTTTGGAGGAAGTTGGGGGTGGGGCATATAGGAGATTGACTGGAGCGACAGGGAAACTAGCTCTTTTATTGAGAGCCCGGGGGAGCGGGGAAGGGTATTTATTTTGTTATTTATTTTAGTCTGGAGGGCAGTTCTGGGCTCTTCTGACCTACACCTGAGTAGGAGTTGGAGACCCGAGGCTAAATTTGCACTCTCCCCAAGGCCAGTGCCTAAAGACCTCCGCCATCCTTGCCCAGCTAAAGTGGGGGGATGGGTCAGCTTGGGGAGCAGTCAGAAGGCAGAGGTTCAGACAGTGACAGTATTTCTAGTTTTCCCAGAATTTGGTAGTGAGTGTGGTCTGCTGTGAAACAGGCATTTTATTTAGTTCTGGGGTAAGGGTCTAGCCAGGGATGGGTTGGGACGATGGGGAAAGAGGGAAAACTTAAGTGGGTGGAGGGGGCGGGGTATTTATTTAAATTAAAAAAAAAAAGCTGTCAGGAACTTTTTTTAAATTCCTTTCTTTTCAGAATAATATATTAAAAGACTCATGATCCAAGAGCTGGCTCCTTCTATTTCCCCGTGTGCTCTGTCTTGTACACGTGCTCCTTTTCCCACGATGCCCTGGGTGGGTGGGAGCCGCCCTCATCCGTCACACGGAAAGGCGGAGTTTCAGGTAAGTGGGAAGTCCATCATGCTGTCCGTCCCTTAGTTTGTGTGGGTGATGAGTGCAGGTGTGTGTGCCCCCAGTGTTATGCACGTATGTGTTTGTAAGTATGCACCCATGAGTGTGGAAGTCAGAGATTGGTCTCGGAATCAGTGAACCTGGAGCTCATCAGTTCTGATTCTGATAGACTAGCTGGCCCGGAAGCTCCAGGGATCTGCCTGTGTCTACCTGGGGTCACGGGTGTGAATGCCTGCTTTTTGCTTGGGAGCCTGACACTCAAACTCAGCTCCTTATGCTTGCTTGACAAAAACTTGATCAGCTGAGCCATCCCCGCTGTCCCCCACCCCACCGCCGGTCACTCCATTCTTCCTGAGCTTTGCTGTGTTCTGGCTGCGCACTGGTGCAGAAGGAATGCTCAGACCCAGGAGGTTTGCACTCTGCTGACCTTGTAGTCCTCCCCGGGAGCTGAAACTCCCAGACTCCCGTAGATTCAGCTGCAGGACTAACGGAGGAGAAGAGGGCTGTTGGTCACGGGACAGGTGAGGATGCTGGGGTTGTAAATTTGCAGTAGAGCATTTGATCAGAATCTCACAGGGAAGGGATTGGGGCGTAGGTCAGCAGTAGCATTCTTGCTCAGAATCTCCTAGTGAGGGGCTGGGGATGCGATTTAACACTTGTCTACATTCGTTCCACGCCTAAGGCTCAATCACCTACACCACCAGTAACAAATAATGATGAGATTATTAAAAAATCATGACAGCGCTGTGAATTTTCAGAATTGAGGAAACTCCAATTAGGAATTAATTAATGGCCTGGCGATGGTGGCACACGCCTTTAATCCCAGCCCTCAAAGACTACTCAAAAAAAAAAGAAAGAAAGAAAGAAAGAAAGAAAGAAAGAAAGAAAGAAAGAAAGAAATTAATGCTAGTTTGAGAGGGGCAGTGGGGTGCAGTTCTGCAATCCCAGCCTTTGGGGAGGTGGAAGGAAGAGCCAAAATTCAAGGCCTGCCTGAGCTATATAACAAGACCCTGACTTAAAAATGCCTAGCTAGAAAATGAAGAGAAGACAGGTTTGGTGGTGCAGGCCTCCAATCCCAGCCACAGAGAAAGGCTGGAGAGTCAGTGCTCAAGGTCAAAGCGAGCTGAGGCCCTGCAAAGAACTGGACAAGACCAAGACCGGTGATGACTCAGGGGTTAAGAACACTTACAGCTCCTACACAGCACCTGTGTTTGCTTCCTGGTACCCACATACCGGTTCCTAGCTGTCTATAACTCCAGTTCCAAGAGATCTAACACCTTCTCTTGGGATCCAAAGGCACCAGGCATGTATACAGTGCATATACCATACATACAACTGGGCAGTGGTGGCTCATGCCTTTAATCCTAGCACTCAGGAGGCAGAGGCAGGTGGATCTTTGTGAGTTCGAGACCAGCCTGGTCTACAAGAGCTAGTTCCAGGACAGGCACCAAAGCTACAGAGAAACCTTGTCTTGAAAAAACAACAAACCAGCTGGGTGAAGGTGGCGCATGCCTTTAATCCCAGCACTCGGGAGGTAGAGGCAGGTGGATCGCTGTGAGTTCGAGACCAACAGGCTCCAAAGCCACAGAGAAACCCTGTCTCGAAAAAGCAAAAAAAAAAAAAAAAGAAAAAACAACAAATCAAAAAAAACCCCACAAAAACATACATACATACAGTCAAAATATATATATATACACATAATATACACACACATATATTTTATATTGTAATATGCATAGTATTTTTATTATAAATTTATTTATTTGGAAAATAAAGGGGCTTGATAAGGTGGCTCAGCAGGTAAACTGCCTTGCTGCCAAGTCTGATGGCCTGACTTTGATCTCCAGGACCCCCATAAAAGGAGAATCAGCTCCCACAGGCTGTTATATGACCTCCAAGTGCACATTATACACCACACTCACATAGCTATAGAGCGAAAGGAAAAAGAAAACTAAATAGTGCATTAATAACGCCATCAAGAGTCATAGTGTAGGACTGGGCACAGTGGCGCACACCTTTAACCCCAGCACTCAGGAGGCAGAGGCAGGCGGATCTCTGTGAGTTTGAGGACAGCCTGGTCTACATAGTGAGTTCCAGACCAGACAAGACTCCAATAGTGAGATCTTGTCTCAAAAAAATAAAAAAAATCAGAATATGGGCCCGGCGATGTAGCTCAGATGGTGTTTGCCGCATACATCAGAGCCCTGAGCGAGGTCACAGTGAGTGTGAAGCCTGTAATAAAAAAAAAAATTATTATACAGCTGTATAATAACTATCATTATTGTGTTATATATAAACAGTAACGTTAACAAATATATTAAAGTATATTTAATAAGAAATAGATTAATTAATAAAACCAACATTTTGTAGAGTCATTTTAAAAAAGGAAATCTAGAGGGTAAATTCCTGTTTATAACACACACATCCATACCCCCTAAACCCCATACCCCCCATACACTCATACCCACACACACCCAAACCCCCACACCCATACCCACACATACACACACCTATACCCCCCACACCCTATACCCCCTTAACCCCATATACACTCATACCCACACATACACACATCTATACCGCCCCACACACACACCCCATACCTCCCACAACTCCCACCCCAGGCTGGAAAGTGACTCAGCAGATAAGGGCACTGGTTTCTCCTGTAGAGGACCCAGGTTTGGTTCCTAGCAGCTTCGAGGTTCACGAACATCTGTAACTCCAGCTCCATGGCACGTGACGTCATTCCTCCTCATGTGTGACCTCGTGATAAACAGGACATAGGAGGCAAACACTCATAGATAAAATGCGTAAGTCTAAAATTAAAACTCACTACATTAAAAAACAACAAGCACCCGGTGTGATGGCTCGGAGGGTAAAAATGCTTGCTGCCAAGCCCGGTGAGCTCCGTCCCATCCCCAGAACCCGCACAAAGGTGGCTGGAGAAAATGGACTCTGCAGAGTTGTCCTCTGGCCTTGACAGGAACACCGTGATCAGGATGCGCGCACACACACAATAAATATCTTCAGATAAAAGGGTAATTTATTTGTTTGAATAACCAGGAGTAAGGACTTGGCCGTACATTTCAATAGCTTAATAACAAAAGATGACAGTTCTCAAATGAATTTCCCATAGCCCTAAGGGACTCATTTAGGAAACCCGATAAAATTGGAACGTTCATCCAGAATGATAATGGGGAAAACCAGAACATTCTGAAACAGAATAACAGGGTGACCTGCCTTCCTGAACGCTGAAACATAAAATCGGAACATGTCGGCCCTACAACAGAACTCAAATATCACATAACTCCTCGGAATAAGAAGCCCTGAGAGACCCTGGCATCCGGCACTTACCGGAAAGGGGGCTGTTAGAAAGTAGTTCGGAAAGCGGTAGCACGCGCGTCATCCCAGCATTCAGAGGGTAGAGGTAGCAAGATGAGAAGTTCAAGGTCATCTTCTGCTACTTCGCTAGCTTCAGGCTAGCCTATGCTAGAAGTGATTCTGTTTCAACACAAAAATTGTGTCTTGAGCAATTAACCAGTCAGGAGGGAGATGCTAGAGGCTGTGGCTCTCAACTAATCCGTGAATTTGGCCTACAGAAATGATTCTGCAGCCTATGGATATAGTCCCTGTCTGAGGGAACTAATTGCAGCAGTGTTTGAAATAAGGAAGAAAACAGTCCCCAAGGTTTACCAGGATGGCATTGACTAAAGAATTTATGATAGCCGGGCAGTGGTGGCGCACGCTTTTAATCTCAGCACTCAGGAGGCAGAGGCAGGCGGATCTCTGTGAGTTCGAGACCAGCCTGGTCTACAAGAGCTAGTTCCAGGACAGGCTCCAAAAACACAGAGAAACCCTGTCTCAAAAAACAAAACAATAAATAAATAAATAAATAAAAAGAAAGAAAAAAAGAAAAAGAAAATAAATTAAAAACTAATATGAAGTAGGGTGCTGGTGGCACAAGTCTTAATCTCAGCACTTGGAAGGCAGAGGCAAGAGGATCTCTGAGTTCGAGACCAGCCTGGTCTACAGAGCGAATTCCAGGACAGCCAGGGCTACACAGAGAAACCCTGTCTCAGACAAAAAAAAAAAAAAAAATTAAGGGTCTATGAAGTGGCTCAAAGGATAAAGGTGCCTGCCACCAACCCTGACAGTGTGACTATGACCCCTTGGGCTTGAGCAGTAGAAGGGGAGAATGGACTCCCACCAACTGTCCTCTGACTTCCACATATAGACTGTGTCAGGCGTGCATCCCTCGCCACACCCACTGTCACACAAAATCAATAAAATGTAATGATTTTTAAAATTAAAGATATGAAGACAGCTCAGTTCTGTAAAGTGCTTATTGAGGGAGAATAGAGACTGAGTTTGGCTGGGCAGTGGTGGCGCACGCCTTTTAATCCCAGCACTGGGAGCAGAGACAGAGGCAGGCTGATTGATCTCTGTGAGTTCAAGGCCAACCTGGTCCACGGAGTGAGTTCCAGGACAGACAGGGCTAATCACACAGGGAGAAAAAAAAGATTGAGTTTGACCCCTAGAACCCTTGTAAAAGCTCTGTGTGTGTGAGTGTGTGTGTGTGTGTGTGTGTGTGTATGTGTGTGGTGGTGGTGATGGTGGTGGTGGTGGTGGTGGTGGTGGTGGTGGTGGTGGTGGTGGTGGTGGTGGTGGTGGAGGAGGAGTTCGTAACCCCAGCCCAGAGAAGCTGAAGACGGGGG